CCACTGCACTCCAGTCCGGGTGACAGAGTGAGACTCCAACTCAAAAAAAAAAAAAAAAAAGACAAGACTGTTAATAGGCAGAATTAGAGCCCTCATCCTATTTAAAAGACTCAGTTCTGTGACAGCAGCACCAGTCTTGATCCAGCCTGTCCCTGCTGAAAGTCTCCTCTGGGATCCTAACCTTTCTCGGCCCTCATCCGTACAATCTTCAGTGGCAGGCCTCTGTCCGCTATCCGTCCTTCCTTCCTACCATCTTCTATATACCTTCTGGGCAAAGTGCGCCTTTCCCAGCCCTCAGGACTTCTCAGAAGGTAGGGTGCCATGTTCAAGTCCCATTACTATCTGCTGGGTAGGAATTTCTACAGAGACTGAGAAGAAACTGACATGCAGGCAACTCCAAAAATACTTAACTCAGGAATGTGTGATCTGGGAACTAAATGGCCAGGATTCCTCCTCATGGCTGAGTGGCCTCAAATCAAAGTCTTGGTCTGCACCTTGAAGGCTAGTCTTTAAGGAAAATCTAACGCCGTCATAGGGCTCCCAAGAGACTATGGTTCTTAGATCTGAACCCAGAAGGGACAGAGCTAGGACAGAGCTCTCAATAGGCACGGAAGACAACAGGCGCAAAATAATGACCATCAGCCAGGCTCAGTGGCTCAGCCTGTAATCCCGCGCCTTTTGGATGCTGAGGTGAGTGGATTGCCTGAGACCACGGGTTCGAGACCCACCTGGGCAGGCGAGACCTCATCTCTACAATAAATTAAAAAAATTAGCCGGGCGTGGTAGCGTGTGCCTGTTGTTCTAGCTACTTGAAAGGCTGAGGCAGAAGGATTGCCGGAGCCCAGCAGGTCGAGGCTGCGGTGGCCGGGAGTAGCCATTGCACTTCAGTCTGGGCGACAGTGAGACTCCGACTCAAAAGAAAAAAAAAAAAAAGACCATCTCCAAGACAAAGGGATCAGGACATGTAAACAGGCCACACTTGTGGGGGAGGGGAGCACAGGGCAGCAGTGACCCCTCCCTGCATTCATGTATTGAAAGGCTGAAGGGACTATCCAGTGGGAAAAGATTTCAGGCTTGTGTTCTGCATTTCTTTTGAAAATACAGAGAGAAGCAACTGGGGTCAGTTTTAGCACAAGACAGAAGAAGTCTTGAACCTACAGAGTTACTCAGCAGTGAGAGGGTAGCCTTGCAAGGTAGCGGGCTCCCTGATGCTGGAAATACCCACTCAACCACAGCTGAGGAATTCACTGTATTTTCATCGCAGGGGTTATGAAAATGGCATGTCAGGATGACAATAAAAGGACACTTAACAGGAACAGGTAGAGCTGGAAGAGCAGTCAAGACACTGTGCCCTGGGGGCCCAGGTGACCATGTCTGCATCTGAGTGCGCTGCTGCATCTGAGTGTGCCGCCTCTAAGGACAGGCACAGCAGCGCCTACTGCAGGGGTTGTAAAACCTGGAGGGCATGCGTGGCAGACATTTCATAAGCAGTCGCTTTGATTTCTGTCCAGCAAAAGGCTTAAGGACCTCTGATGTCCCTTCCAGTATGAAACAGTGGTTCTGCTGAGTCATTATGAACAAGCCGCAGGAAGATAGGAGGAGCCAGCAAGGTGGGGAACAGAGGAGGAGCACCAGCCAGGTGGGGGACAGAGGAGGAGCCAGCTAGGTGGGGGACAGAGGAGGAGCACCAGCCAGGTGGGAGGAGAGAGGAGGAGTCAGTCAGGTAGGGGGACAGAGGAGGAGCACCAGCAAGGTGGGGAACAGAGGAGGAGCCAGCCAGGTAGGGAAAAGAGGAGGAGCACCGGCCAGGTGGGGGGACAGAGGAGGAGCACCAGCCAGGTTGGGGGACAGAGGAGGAGCCAGTCAGGTAGGGAACAGAGAAGGAGCACCTGTCAGGTGGGGAGACAGAGGAGGAGTACCAGTCAGGTGGGGGAACACAGGAGGAGCCAGTCAGGTAGGGAACAAAGGAAGAGTACCAGCCAGGTGGGGGGATGGAGGAGGAACCAGCCAGGTGGGGGAACAGAGGAGAAGCCAGCCTGGTGGGGAACAGAGTAGGAGCACCAGCCAGGTGGGGGAATGGAGGAGGAGCACCAGCCAGGTGGAGCAGAACAGAAGAGCTGAATGCTTCAATCCTATCATACTCTGCTAAGCACTCCAAGGACAGTGTTTCACTTAAGACTCATAATACTTCTGTGAAGCAATGATTCTTACTCCTCTACACAGAGGAGTCCAAAGCTCTGAGAGGTAAGGACCAAGCCCAAAGCCACACAGGTAAGAATTGGCAAAGCATGCCTGATTTAAAAATGGAGATTCTTAGCTGGGTGCAGTGGCTCACACCTGTAATCCCAGCATTTTGACAGGCCAACGAGAGAGGATTGCTTGAAGCCAGGAGTTCGAGACCAGCCTGGCAACATAGTGAGACCACATCTCTATAAAAAATACAAAAAAATTCAACTAGGCATGGTGGTACATGCCTGTAGTCTCAGGGAGGCTGAAGGATCACCTGAGCCCAGAAAGTCAGGCCTGTGATCCTGCCACTGTACTCCAGCCTGAGCGACAGAGTGAGATTCCTTATTCGAAAAAGCAAAAAAAGAAGAAAGAAAAATATATTTCTGAGCATTCTGATCTTGGATGACAGAGGTGATAGGAGAATCTACTACACGGGCCACACTGCAGGGGGAAGGGATGGGGAAGTGGGCCAGGATGAGAGGCAAGGACAAAAGTAGTTCACACTGTGAGCAAGAGCACAGTGCCCACACAGGAATGCTGGAGGCACCGGGAGCAAGGTGGGCCTGGGAAGTTTAGATCTCAGGGCAAAAACCAAGAGGCTGCAACATTTCCTGAGTGCCATTAGGTGCAGCTGTGCCTGGGACTGTCCACCTGCTTGACCTCTAAACCCCCCAACACCCACGGAGTGGCCCCTCCAGAGCCTCCGTTCTATAGGTGGGAGATGAGGTGAAGAGGAGCTGGGCTCACAGAATGCTGGGAATGGAAGGGGACAAGTGCCAGGCAGCCTGCACCTGCCACAGTCCTCAGCTGCACAGGCCGTCTGTTCCTTTAGAAGGAGGCCTGCCAACAACCAGGAGAGAACACAGCAGAAGGTGAGCTCATGTACATGTAGTGCAGTGGCGTAGGAGTCACCCACGTCTGTGGGGACAGGCGCAGAAGACAGGACATGCCTGCGCCCTCACAGGAAGCCCAGCGCTGGCATAAGGATGTGCATGAAGGGAGCGCTGGATGGTGCCCAGTACTGGGTGCCCACAGAACATGGCTGATGGGGCAGCAGCTGGCTGGGAGAAAGCGCCCTCCTGACCCTGAGCCCAGAAGCCGAGGGCCAGCCCGGGCATCTCAGGCAGTCTGCTTGAGCAACAGAAGGGCCCAATTTCTCTTGAATGTGTGCTAGGACCACCTCTGTGCCCTGTACTGGTCACGTGATTAGTAGCATAGGCTTTTACTGCAGCAGTGTCCAACTCCTTCAACACACCCATTCAGATGGCTACAGGGAAAAAAAAAATCAAACTCTTCAAAATTCCTGGTTGTACAGAAATAAACATATACTGGGATTGCACCACTTAGGCCTCCCATTCGCGCTTCTAATAGTTCCAGGCCTGCCATTTCCTTAATAATCTCCAGTTTCCAAGTGGGCATAACTCGAATGTGAAATATTCTCTCCATCTCTATTCAGACATGCAAGTTTGTGTTTCAACCTGAGAACAATTGATCAGGAACAACAATAACAAAAAACCAGTAACCTCAAAACAAGCAGGCGGTCTAGATGATTTATATTATAAAGCCAAAACACCAAAAAAGAAAAAAACCCTGGCATTTTTGTGTTTCATACAGTTTTGAGATTCTAAAAAAATTGAAAATGTAAGTAAAAGCAAGAGTTAATAAGAAAATGACTCAAAAGAATTCCCTTTTAGGGACGGTGATAGAGGAATTCTGGGAAAATACAGACAACTGTTCACCAACACAAGAAATAAAAAGGCATAGAGGCTTGCTTAAAAAACATAGGTCACATCGAGCCCTATTCCAAACAAATTCTTCATGCCACCAAATGTACACTTGGTAATATAGAAGTGCCAACATGTTTTCATAATACTATGCTCATTTGGAGAAAAAAAATTCTAATTAAAATAAAAATCTGCAGCCGGGCTCGGTGGCTCAGTCTGTAATCCTGCGCCTTGGGAGGCTGAGGTGAGTGGATTGCCTGAGCCTGCGGGTTCGAGACCTGCCTGGGCAACTTGGTGAGACCTCATCTCTACAATAAATAAAAAAATTAGCCGGGAGTGGTAGCGCACCCCTGTAGTTCCAGCTACTTGGAAGGCTGAGGCGGAAGGATCACCGAAGCCCAGCAGGTCGAGGCTGCGGTGGCCGGGAACGGCCACTGCACTCCAGTCTGGGCGACAGAGTGAGACTCCAACTCAAAAAAAAATAACAATAATAAAATAAATAAATAAATAAATAAAAATCTGCATGTTTGTCAACAAAGTAAAGATGAAACTCAGCAAAGGCACAGGCAGAGATAGCAGCTGCCCTTCACTCACCATGAGTCAGACACCCAGGGTGGAGGGTGCAGGTCATTCCAATTCCTAAGTGGGGGCTTTGGTTAAAGGACTTCAGAGGCAGGTCACACATGGCTCTGTACCACAGCCGTGCCTCAGAGGCAGCCAAGCACAAGTGCTTCCTGCTCATAATCAGCCTGTCCACCAACACAGAGCATCGCGGCTGCCTTGACGATGCTTCTTCCTAGCAACAGGAGGAAGATCCCAGGAAGAGAAGGGATTTCTGGCTCCATGCAGTGAGGACCAGAACCTTCCAAAGCCCAACTCTGGGGCCGCAGGCAGCTCCCTCAGTGGCATCCCCTCAATTCCAAGGAGCTGCGACGAGGAGGCATGGCCAACACATCAACACACGTGTGAGCCACGGTTCATGCAGAGCATGACCCTGCGGCCCACCCAAAGTCTCCTCTTCCTCCTGAGTCCTGATACCAATAAAACACCGCCAGCCTCCCCCCTGCTCAAGCCTAACCCAGAAGCCAGCCCTGCATTCCGGATCCTTGGCTACCCCACATTATGAAACCATGAAGTGGTGTAGGCCTTGGCTGTAATCTCTCTCTGTTCCACTCCCCTGGGCCCATCCCTGTCACCATCCAGCCAGGGCCATAGTTGTTTGGCTCTTGGGTTAGGAGGTCACCACTGGCCTCCTTCCCCTTAGTCATGTTCCTCTCCATCTCATGTACTAACCAGAGGGGCCCTTCTGAAACACAAATCGGTCAGGGCTGCCATGGCAGATTTCCCCTTAGCATAAAGGCCTGAGACCAGATTCTGGATCTTTACACTCTGGAGTGCAGGGCAAGTCCAGGGAAGCAAATGGAGGATGGAGGCCAAGGAAGCGACCCACCCCAGAGACATCAGAACTGCATTTGGGGACAAGTTGCCACGAAGTGCCCAAGAGTTCCTGTGATCTGGGTCTGGACGGGGCAGACACACAGCCTGTCAGGGCTGTCGTACCAAAGGCAGCATCGAGGGAAGCTCTGTGCTTCCGTGTGGGCCACAAAGCCGACTTCGTCCACACGGGACCCTGGAGTTGTCTCCATGTGCATCTGAGAACGAAGCCCCCAGAAGGGCTTGCCCTGCATGTCGGAGCAGGAAGCACAACCCTCAAGCCCCAAGTCATCCAATCCACATCTAAAGAAGACCCAGAGCTGCCATGAGCGGCTAAACATGGATGTGACACTGCAGAATTGACACTTCCTGGGAGGGGGCATGGTCACCCTCACTGCTGCCAGCATCCTGGTGAGTCCGAGTCCCTTGGGCTGTGCTCCATAGAGTCATCAGGAGGCGTTCCTACAATTATTCCTCCTCAAGTTGAATGCTGCCTCCTACCACACACCAACGTCCTGTGTCAACAGCAGCAGGAACCCGACCGCTCCCAGGACATCCTTCACCTGAGCCACATGGGCAGGTTTACGTTCATAGAGAACTGAGACAGGGATTCACAGAAGTCAACGTGTTTAGAAAATACAAAGGCAGGTTTAAGGCTTCCTATTTAAGCTTCCAAAGGCCTAGAAATAAAAGCAAACTAGAAGGCATGACAAAATCTACACATGATGACACTATTAAAAGTCAAAAACAGAAGCACCTGCTGGAATTAATCTGTCACGTGTGCTAGTCCTGAGAATGACATACAGAAGACTTGACCCAGCACACAGAGAGGCATGGCCTTTACCTCCCCTAACACAAGGGGCACTGGCTCCCCAGGAAGAGTACCCACTGCTCAGAAGGACACCTGCTCCCCAGCAGAGTATCCACTCCCCAGAAGGGCTGTCCACTCCCAGGAGGGCCGCCTGCTCCCTATAAGGGACACCCACTCCCCAAAAGGATCACTGGCTCCCCAGGAGGGCCATCTGCTCCCCAGGAGGGCCGCCCACTCCCCAGGAGGGGCACCCACTCCCCAGAAGGGGCAATCGCTCCCTGGAAGGGGCACCCACTCCCCAGAAGGGCACCCACTCTCCAGAAGGACACCCATTCCTCAGAAGGGCGCCTGCTCCCCAGAAGGCTCCAGCAAGGTCTGAACACGAAAGCCCAAGTTCCATATCACCCACCAATGATGTTTCCATAAAGATTTGAATGTGACTGCCCTGGCAGATTTTTTCTAAAGACAGCAAATTCAAACATACAAAATGAATCCCCTTCAATGAGTGGTCTTAAGCATTACATGTAATAAAGTATGAATAAGATTCAACTGTTAGAGGAACAAAACAAATGCATAAAAATCCAAAACAGAGTGCTTTATCACAGAGACCTCTGTGCCCCATGGATACTGACCTCGAGTGACCCCATGTGAATGTCGTATTTAAAGCATTTTAGATGCCATCGGTGGCCCAAAGGTGTGGTCAGAATCGAGGGACAGGACGGGGGGCCTGGGAAGGGATACCCTGGAAACATAGCCACCCTGACCATGTTTACTCTCAGGAGCCCAGGCCCCAGCACCCTGGGACAGCAGGTCTCCATCAGTACCAAGTGGAAGCTTTAAAGAGCGCCAGGTGTCCAGGCTGCCCCTCCTTCAGCAAACCTCATCTCTAGAGGTGGGGCCCAGGCAATAAGAGTTTGTTTGTTTGCTGTTTTGAGCTCGGGTCTCACTTGGTCGCCCAGGCTGGAGTGTAATGGCACAATCATAGCTCACCTCGACCTTGACCTCCTGAGCTCATGTGATCTTTCTGTCTCAGCCTCCCAAGTAGCTGGGACTACAGGTGCACACACCATGCTTCACTAATTTTTGATTTTTTTTGTAGAGATGAGGTCTGACCTAGTTGCTCAGGCTTATCTTGAACTACTAGGCTCAAGAAATCCTCCCACCTCTGCATCCCAAAGTGCTGGGATTACAGGCATAAGCCATCAAGCCCAGCCAGCAAGAGTTTTTAAAGTTCCTCGGGTGATTCCAACATGCAGCCAAGTTTGATACCCAGTGCCTTATCCAAAAATGACCGCAGATGAAATGATTCTGATGCAGGAGATTAACTGGTCCATTTTTCAGGGAAAAACAAAATTTGGTAAAGGAGGAGAGCCAGTCACAAGCCAAAAGTTTAAGTCCTAATATTGCCGCTTCTGACTTAAGTGACCTTGAGGAAACGAGCTGATTTTTCCGGGGTTTCAATGTGTATTCCTTCTAAACATGCAGGGTCCTGCACAATCTGCTAAGAGCCTGTGTAAGGTTACGATTTCTGCATATTAATAAAGAAATGCTTTAAACAGGACAGTTTGCCAGGGCTCGAATGTTCAGGATTCAAATCAACACTAGCATCTTTTTACACACAGTAGGACCTCAGATTTACCCATTTATTTTTTTAACTTTTTAAGAGCCATACGCACCAGTAAAAACTGAGTGAATTCCGCATATGTCAGGTGTCTTTTTCTTTCTTTTCCAAAATGCAGTTGCACAAATTCTGAATCCCAGTTAAATGGGATATGTTGATGAATTGTGGTCTGTCCAAAGACTTGCTTCACATCCTCTGAAAAGAGAAAAGAGAGGTGGATTAAAACAAAACAAGCAAGATTCTAAAAAACCTGTTATTAAATGAATATTACCATTTCTTCTTACTACAAAAAAAAAAAAAGAGAGTCACTCAATTTTAAACACACATACAGATTATAAAACCATGGCAGAAGCTGGGCTCGGGGGCTCAGCCTGTAATTCCACACCTTGGGAGGCTGAGGTGAGTGGACTGCATGAGCCCGCGGGTTCGAGACCCACCTGGGTAACTTGGTGAGACCTCATCTCTACAATAAATCAAAAACTAGCCGGGTGCGGTAGCACACGCCTGTAGTTCCAGCTACTTTGGAATGCTGAGGCGGAAGGATCGCTGGAGCCCAGCAGGTCGAGGCTGTGGTGGCCGGAAGCGGCCACTGCACTCCAGTCTGGATGACGGAGTGAGACTCCAACTCAAAACAAAAACAAAAACAAAAATAAATAAATAAATAAAACCGTGGCAGAAATAAAAGTCAGGATCCTCAAGGAATTGGTCAATACATCAAAGTTAAGCATCCCACCAAACAAAATAAAGAGGAAAAAATCAGGGCGCATATGTGTATGCAAACATGTGCAACCCACGTTTGTGTGCGTACGCGCACACACACACACACACAGTGGCTGACGGCTGTAGGAAACCAACCTGACCAGCTATAACTATGATCATTGCATTTGTGTTGTTCCAACATATATTGATAATTGATATATTGATTATAGAAAATCAACACATGCTGTCCCCTGAGACATGGACAGAGGACAGAATCAAGCCTGGAATGGCGGGAATATGCACACACCCGGACATTATACCAGTCTTCAGGATCATCTATATCAAGTTATTGGAATGTCTTGGAGAACTGAGCAATCGGCTAGGAAGACCCTGAAGCATACATCCAGCACCCACGGACCTTCCTCCAGCTGAGTGAGCTCAGCAACCCGGCAAGCTGTACTTGGAGACAAGGAATCCAGGCAGCACAGGCAACAGCAGGTCGTTCACATTCCCGTGTTCTCTGAGATTGACTGACATTCTCAAATGGTCCAAATCACCCCACATCCTGGAACCACTGAATGTGCCTGCACTGATGCAGCACCTCTTTCTAGCCTCTAGTATAAAAGTGTCAGGGGACTGACAGGGAGAAAAAGAATACCAAAAGCCCTGTTTTTCTAAAGCCTCACATTTTCATACTAGTTTCCCCGTCCAAGCAAAAGTGACTTTGGAGAGTGATGGGAACACAAATTATTATACTAACACATTAGTGACCAGCAAATTTTTCTCTTTCCTAATACTGAGAGTGGGTGAAAATTTAAAAAAAAAAATGTGAAGCTGGTTGCCACAAACTTCTGACGTTAAGCACAAGTGAAATGGTTTTTTCTAAACTGTCACCTTTTTCACAATACAGCTGACAGTTGCAGACATATCCAGGATTTGCCTCAGATACCACTCTGACTAGCATTCCGTACTCTGTATTTTTATTCGGATAATAAACCCGAAAAGACAGTCACCCACAATGAGGTAAATTCACGTCAGTGGCAACCAGGAACAGAATTTGAAATGACATAAATTCACATCAGTGGTCACGAATGAGTTAGTAATTTTTTCCTGGCTTTCACATCTTTAAATACATCTACCAAACCTGCTCACGTAAACAGTGCTTGATACCTTTTTTTATTCTTTTGCTTCTGTTTAAAAAAGAAGAAAGTTCTTTAACCTTCTGAAGGGTGCCAAAACCCCTGGAACATGTTTCTGTTGTTTACCTCCAAATTTCCCACTTCCACCCCCATTCCACCCACAACATTTTTATTCCACACTTTTAAAGTTTCCAGAAATTTTTAGTCTTGCCCTGAAGAAACAGTAGTGCCACCACTCACATACGGCTGGGTGTGTATTTGCACAGAGAAGGCAGTAAAACTTGGAATTATGCTGGGCACAAATTTTATAAAAGGTGACAGAAAACCTCAGGCTGGCTCTGACAAGGACGATCAAATAAAACTTCCCAGCGCAGCCTTCCATTCTCTGAATGTATTCTGTCTTGCTACTTTTTGGGAAAAGAAGACAAGATATAAGAACAATGAAGTGAATTCAGAATCAGAACTGAAAAGAAAACATTAAAAAAGGAAAGAGTTCCAGAGGGGATTACCAGGAGTCAATAAAATGAATTAAGTAGAAGGAGACACTCTGGAGAGACCTGCTGAGAGAAACTGCCAAACTGAAATCCAGGTGGCTTGGGGTCAAACTGTAACAAGAGCAGCTGAATTTTGGGGGGTACCCCATGTGTCTGGTATTGCTCTAATGGACATGTGTACAGGTCCCCTACAAACTCAAGCATGACTGTCCTCAATGGCAAAACATAGTTCTCAGGAGCCACATCTCTGCATGACATAGGCTAGGAGAGATGAATAGAGGTTTACACCAGCCTCTAATGCAGACAGTTTTCTTATGATAGACAAAGCTCAAATGATAGACATTTTTACACTATAAGTAAAATGTCACACCACAATACAATTTTAGAGAATACTATGCAAGCAAAAATGGTTTTCTGGTTTATCCGGTTAGTCTGATGATTCCTTTCTGCCAGTATTTTGGTGAAACACAGCCGTGATGTAATAATCATAGAACAGGTGTCAAAAACGAAGACTTTCACCTTCTTGGTTTTCCCTTCAAGGCTCCAGAGAAAGTCAAGATGGTGTTAGCCAAATAGTTGGTGTATAAAGTTAAAGCACTCAAGACCCAGTTTTATATTTAGATGGTCTCAAGTGGTAAGTGCATATATGTTTTCAAGTCATTCTAACATGAGTGAATGGATTTAAAATGGGTCTCACCCTAACCAATAAACTTATTTTTCCTGTCACTAAAGTAACTACCATTTACTGCATACTGTAGCTCATATCTGAATCCAAAACTTTGAACCCTGAACTCCGTGTACAGCCTTTTTTTTTTTTTTTTACTATCCTAGGGTTTGTTTCCTGTGCAGAATGCCTGCCTCCAGGACTGAAATCTGGTCACCCTGCAGTATAGAGCTATGTGGTATCCCTAAGGCACTTCTCAACTCTAAACTCAAGCCTATGTGAACTACTGGTCACGATGGTTTAGAAAAGATCTCCATATAGCATGTATGCATATGTGCATGTGTAAACATATTTGTACACAGTTATGGTATATTCTTTATTTCCAAGTAGACTACCAGTCCCTTGACAGTAAAGGCCCTATTTTGTCACTCATGATTTTCCCATGATGGCCAGCACTGTAGCAGGCACAGCCCAACTGCTCACTAAGTAGTGGCTGAATCTGAACAAGCCAGAAAAGCTTCACAGTAGAGGGTGCAGCAGCTGAGGGCAGCAATGTCAGTGCTTCAAGGCCTGGAGTGTCCTTTGCTGGGACACTATTTCAACAGCTGTTACCCAACCCTTCAGACAAGTTCATCAGAGTCACCAGTCTTGCTGATTAAAACCCCCAGGCCCCAGACTGATTTAAATCTTCTGAGGGGCTGAAAAAAATGGCATTTTAATCAGTGCTCCAGGGGTTTCTGAGGCAAGAACTTTATTTAGAGAAAGTCTTCCTAGTGAGTATGGAAGGGTGAGCGTCATTCCTTGCTAACTTTCAATTTCCCACTGAAACAGACAAATACATACAAGGAAGGAGGTTGGAAGACTCTTCAGGTCAGGGAGGTCACATGCAGACCCAGGAGGAGAACAGGGCCACCCCGCCCACCGCTCCCGTAGAAGACATTGGCCGTGTGGCTGGTGACTGGTGCCTCCTGGAGCTGGGCAGTGTGCCAGTCACATGACTCCAGGAACGCAGCCCTGTTATCAGTCCTTTGGCAGTTACACACACCGGCCATATAGGAATACCAGGCCTCAGAGAGCGAGCTCGCCAACTGCCAAGCAGCATGGTACAGGAGCCCAGCCCTAGGTCCTGCAGGAAGAGGATGGTGACTGTCTCCAGGTTTAGGTGTGAGAAATAATTCAACAGCAGATCTAATCGGGACACTGTATTAACACCGAATGGCAGGGTTCTCGTGGCAAGGAGATGGAGGGTGAAGAGGGGGCACCCAAGTGGGAGGGAATGGATCTTGGAACAGGTCGAGACCTCGACCTGGGCCCTAAAGGCTGTTACTCAGATGGACCGTGGAGGGAGTTGTTCAAGGAAGAGCTACAGCCTGAAGGAGGGTTCATTCCTTCTGAAGTACACCAAAATTCTGGTGACAGTACTTAGAACAAAGTTGCCCAGAATCCCAGGTAGCCACAGATACTGCATCATCTGCCTATAGCCATGTTAGTATTTTTAAGCCTCAGGACAGGATGCTACTTTTATGGCGAAGAAAAGTTTGCTCTGAAAAGAGCAGCCGGCCTGGGGCTCCCAGTACTAAGAGGTCCCAGGCTGTCTATGCTTGGCATAGCATGTACACATTCCTTCCTCTCCTGCCCGGCCAACAGGAGGACATACTGAATGTCGTGAGAGCACCAGTTGCTCTGCCTCAACAAGCCAACTGATATGCGAAGGAGAGGACGCCTGCCAGTGTTTCTATTCATTTCACAGCTAATAAACTCTTTTACAACAGAATATTAAGTGCTGCCACTCTGGAAAAGCTCACACATGTTTTCCGAAATAGATTCCTATGTTTCTGAATATTTCATTCTGCTCCAATAAGTCATTCTGGGGCTTCCATTTTCTGACATGTTTGGTCTTACGCCTTCTTGTGAGCTCAAGAATAGAAACACTTATAAATCCAGGACTCGGATGAGCCACTTGCATTTCCCCTTCACCTCGGAAAGCATTATGATACCACCTTGGGTTAATGATCTTTTCTCCTTTTAGGAGACATAAATGGCTTTCTCGCTTAACACCTGAGTGTTTAAGATTCCCACAAGTGCAAGTTTACTTCTGCCTCATCCTCCAGTTCTTGTGGGCAATGCCACCACTAGTGTTAGCAGAAAAGGCTCCAGGGGCCAAGCTTAGATTGCCCTCTCACTAAACCCCTGCTGTTT